CTCCACCGCTACAACGTTCTTTTCCCAGTGAAACGGAATTAGAGAGAAAGAGAGAGAGAGAGATAGAGAGAGAGAGAGAGAGAGAGAGAGAGAGAAACAGAAGCCTTCTTCTCCCGTACACTGATAACCAAACTTCCCCTTGTTCTCTCCCTGCCCGCCATCCCATCGCCTCCCACTTTACCCTCGCTACCCAGTATACACAAACCCTTTCTCCGCCTCAGCCTTCGACAGTAACAACTACAACAAGGACCTCGCGGCGTTCCCCATCCCCCAAACCCCTCGTCCCAAGGTGCTAGAATTTCATCTGCTCCCGTTGGACCGACTATCAAGATCTACATACGATAATCTAGCGGGCCCCGTGTGCTTCTATTCGATACCCTGGCAGATTCTATATACATACCATCTGGGTGGGCGGAGGCCTGTTCAGGCCTTGTCGCAGAGCCTGGCCCTGGTGGGAGGCAACAGGTGTGACCTGTTAACGCGTTGACATTACAGCAAACTGTTATCAGATTTATCTTTCTTCTTCTTTCCTCTTTTTTTTGATCAAGGGAGAAGAGAGGTCCCTGTGCTGGAGGCTCAAAAATATTATATTGGCAGACGGGGTTGAGATAAATACGCAGGTTAACAGGAAGAGAGGGGAAAGAAATTGTGAGGAAGGGATATTATTATCACATACTTCCCTAAAAAAAAGGGGAAAAAATAAAAAGTTCGGGAATCATTTAACGAAAACGAACAGTTTACAAGGATTACTTTTGTGTTGGTAGTTACTTTTTCCCCCCTCTCTTTCCCTTGCTCTTTTCTTTTCAGTTTCTTCCTTTCTTTCTTTTCTTCTTTTTTGTGTTCTCTTACTGGAAGGGTTATTTCAACGGGAGGTCCATTTGTTTTCGATCTCAGGTGCATCGATAGGGTCGTTATTTTTACAACAGCTACCTGTTTGCTCCCTGCGCTTTTACTGTGGAGCCGTCTACGGATGCTTGCTTTGAGGAGTAGGCGTTGTTCGCGGTCGCTTTTCTTCCTCCTTTCCCGTTTCACCCTTTGTCCCAGCATAACGCATAACTGTTACGCCGCTCCCAAGAGCAATTTCCTACGCTGGTGTGGACTTTGCTACGCCGTGAATGGTTATCGGGGATGGACGCGCAGTACCCGTTTGCATCAAGAGAAGACATCTGGCGCATTAAAGAGGAAGTGAAAGACCTCTTTGCGGCCCAGCTCGAACACGGAGAGCGGATATCTAGGCTGGAACGGCGTCGGGACGACGATGCGAGGATGAAGAGTGTTTGGGGTCCGTTATCTCCATTCCCCGGACCTATTGGCACCCCGCACCATCAAGGTAAGTCACCATTTTGATTGAAACCGTACGTGAGAAATGCAGTACGGCGTAAATTTTTAAGCCCTGTTTGGAAATGAATGCTGTTGCTAACGTTATCATTGGATCTAGAATCATCCTTTAATCCGACTGCTGAGCCTTTCAAAGGTTTTGATCAAACACACCAGCATGGGCTGACGGGAGTGCTGCATATGGAAAACGAGGACGAACCTCGCCGTGGAGCTTCACGTGCAAATAGTGTGCGATTCGACGAGAGTTCGATGTATTATAACCTAGCAAACAGATCAGCGACGGAGTTCCTCCCATTGAGGACTGGCAGCGGGCTGGGAAGCCATCCCCTGACAGAGCGGTCGCTTTCTCATCGATCTGACGGGAAACAGAGCTCTTCTGGCCAATCTCACCATTCCATGCGCACCAATAGCATGGGGCTAGAAGCATCTCGTTTGCTTGGTGGTGGAAATGGACCTTCGTCTACCAGCAATGCCCCTTTGCCACCACCGCCCGGACTGTTCATTTTAGGTCCCTCTCCTTGCATCATTCGTTGCTGGCTTACGACAAATTTTTCCAATGACTCACTGCTTTACGCTGTGGTGTGTACGGGATCGTACCGCTCAGCCATTAGCGATCAAATGGTGCGGAAACTAGGGCTTGAGGAAGAGGCGGCCGAGGAGAATGGCGTGCGTATCATCAAACTTCCAGTCTATCTCCCCGAGGCTAGTGTCTATCAGCCGTCGTCTCGCGGCGGGAGCCCAGTCCCTCAGCTGCCCGCGTTGACGGTTCGATTTGTCATTCGTGGCGCAGGTTTGGGTGACAAAAGCATCCAGATCGTCCTGGGCAGCGACGTCCTCCGTGCACACAACGCGGACATTCTATTCTCGCAAGATAAGATGCTCATTGTTGACGACGAGCGCAACAAAATCTCAATACCTTTGGTTCGCCCGGAGGATGATTCTACGTTTAGAAATTTAGCTACTGGTCCTGAGGCCACTCTTGCACTAAGATCGGCACAGTACAATGGAGCTGTCGATGACAAGCGAAATGGTTTCCCAACGACCAATGGGGACCAGGCCGGCACTGAGCGTGAACCTCCAGCTTCTGTAGCCCATGATAATAGCACATTCCCGAACAAAGCCGATACATCCGCTTCCCTACCTGCTCGCAACTCATCAGACTCCTTCGACATCTCAGGACGAACACAAACCCGTTCCCCCTCGCGCCATTTCGCCGACGACCCCACAGATAATAGTAATAGAAGCCCAGACCCGCGCCGTCCCAAATCCAGCACGGGTGAACGCGCCTCTACGGGCACATCGACCTCATCTGCGAAAGCAGAAGGTAGCGGCGTTTGGGGACCCTGGCGCCGCGATACGACTGGCAGTAAGGGGGATAATACGGGAACAACGGGAGCGTCCACAACATTTACGGGGCCAAGTATCCACAGCAGCTCCAATAGTCCTTTCATGTCCGCTTACCAGCGTTCCACACGAACGCGAAATATGAAGATCCTGAAACCGACTAAACCGGCCTCGTCCGTGAGCACGCTGTCGAAACAGGCGTCCTCCGGCGCTCCTGGTACCTCTGTAGCCACAACTACAGCCACGGCCACAACTATAACTTCTGCCGCAGGAACTGCCCCGTCTGGCGTCGCCAATGACTTCCGTTCCCCCACAGAACAACACCGTATCAACACGAGCGCCAGCGGCGAGGGGCACGATCATATGACAACATCTTCATCCCATCCTGCGCTGCCATCCGTGAATGGTACTGGCTCGGGGAAATCCTCTTCGAGCGATGGAGGTGGTGCGGGGCCGTTGTCCGGTAAGTCTCGCTCGGCGAACCCTGTGGGCGGGGCGTCGGCGTTCGGATGGTTGAATTCATCGCAGCGGAAAAGGGATGAGGTGGGTTCTGAGTAAGACAGTGCAGTGCGGTGGTGGGTGACTTTATGGATATTAAGGATATGGCTATGGTTATGTATGGTCAAGG